CACAACTCGGGTAATATTCACGGTGAAAATTTGCATATTTGAGCGATCGAACGATAAAAATTATATCTCGAAAATTAAAATATATTTTTACAAAACAACTACACCACAATTATTAGAACATATTGGGCTACAAAATATAAAAGTAGGAGGGGAAACAAATTTGGGTGACTTACCGCTCTTTGTTTGATGCATGCTGACATTAGCTCTTAATATGATATGATTCAGAGCTGTGTTAAGCAACATCAAAGAGAAAAAAGCAGTCATTTCTAGTGGAAAAAATTCATCCTCGACACTAAAATACTATTAATCTCTTTTCTTTACCATATCATATATCAATTCAAGATACGACTATCATATGTTTTATTCAAAAAAAAATTATTTAATGCATAATCAGAAGCCTCGAGGTTAGAATGGGTTATATGTTTCTGGCACGATATAATGCAGTCACTTGGATGAACGCGGAGGAGGGGGAGGGGAGGGACGTTGCCTCTCATCTATGGTTTTCATCATCACGATTTTCTCGTCTCAGGAGATACATGATTCAAAGAGACATTTGTTCCTGGAGTAGGTCTAGTAAATTTTTGTCCTTTTTTGGGATTTAGTTCCCGTTACACTTCATCGATAAGAACACCTTCTCATAGTCATGTCGTTATTAAGTTACCCCTGCTGTGTTACGATTGTGTTTTAATTACAACCAACTAAGTAGATCAACCAATCCTGTGGCATCTTGATGACGGAACTTCTTGTTTCATTAGATACCTGTGACTGAGTTCTTCTTTTCCATCAAGAGTCGGGTACTTCAGCGGCGAAATATTCTTAGCGACCAAAACTTTCACGGCTCTATTGTCATATCTCTGTTTTTATTTCTCAGCATTACTTAACCATGTTGGGAGGAACACTAGCCATTCCGTTTATCCTCAGTGGTCCAATGTGTTTTTCCAATAATACGCTTGCTATCAGCGAGGTACTAAGCACCATATTCTTCGTGTCCGGACTTGTGACTTTGCTTCAATCCACATTTGGAGTCAGGTATGGAAATATGACGACACAAGTCTATAGATACCATTAAAATCGCTAATTTTCCCGTTATATTGCGATGAGTATATTAACAACAATTGTCGCCCTGTTGAATATTTTACACTGGGACAACGCTCAATCAGTTTTTTCGCCGATAGGATTTACCATGATGTATAAAATATTTTCATCCTTCTCTAAACTTGACACCTTGTCTTTTGATCTGCTACTATATGGTTTAGCGAATTTGTGTCAAAATTTGTGTCAATATAACACCCATCTGCCTTAGATCTTGTACAATTGACACGCCTTAAAGACGGTCTCATGGGATTAACCGCAAGCCTTAGGGACCGGTCATTATTTATCGCCTGGGGGGGGGTCGGAGTATTTAGGGGGGGATCACATGGTTTTTTGAAGACCTTTAGGGGGGATCAGCCGTAATTGACAAGCATAATGGGGGGGATCAGACCAGAAAAAAAGGAATTTTAGGTCGCGCCGGGACCCCGGGTGATTGCATTTGTAAATACTTTGGTAGGATTTGCCACTTGCATATTCAAAAAGTTATTTGGCGGTGGCTGGGAGAAAAGGGGGGGGGGATCATGAAACTTTCCACTACCGATAAGGGGGGATCTCTAAAAAACTAGATACTCTACGGGGGGATCAGGTAAATGCTCCGATGTGACAACAAAAATACTCCGACCCCCCCCAGGCGATAAATAATGACCGGTCCCTTAAAACGGCAAAAATTTCAACCGGTAGCCGTGAAAGCCATCACCCCATTGAGACCCTCCCTAAACGGCTATCAAACAATAGCCGCCATTTAAATTAGATTCTCTGACCCACAATAATTCAGTTTTTCATGATTACAGATTGCCAATCGTTCAAGGTGGAACATTCTCTTTTCTCACGCCTACATTTGCCATTCTGTCTTTACCACAATGGACTTGTCCAGATCCTGCTGGTAAGTAAGCTTCCTTTTCTAAGTTTATTGTTAACTCTTTCATGAAATAACAGTACAAGTTCTGCGGTGAATAGGTTGAGAAGAGATTTTGTCGGTGTTCATTTCCTTTATTCTCGTGACCAAAATGTGTGATTCAGGGGCGATATTGTTAGGAGAAATTAGATGCTGGTCATTCCAAGGGGTCAAGGGATTAAAGGCGAGGTACGCTCTAGAAACGATATGACTTCTGTCTCTGCCATTATAAGAACGTACGAAATCTACAACTTGCCGCAGATTGAGATGCTAAAGTTAGCTTTACCTTTTTATTTTTTTTTCCAATGAGCCAAAAAATATTAGACCGTGTACGACATCAAATCGAAAAAAAAAAAACCCAAAACCCTGGCCACAGATCTAGAACACGCTTTACACAAGCAGCTACCGCTCTCACCGTTATAGTTATCGCAAAAAATCATATTTTGGGTCAAATGTGCCCTTTGGTGTAGCAGATGACCAGAAGAGGAGTGGGACTTAGTTACGGCACAGCACTAAGGCCAGGTTCCTAAGCAATATTCAAAATGGTAGTGTCTTTGACACATTTGGAGGCAATTTTCAAAGATTTAGCTCACTATTTTCAATCTTAGTTTGCAATCAGAGTTTCAACGTCATATCCACTCTTTTTAAGTAATAGTAGAGATTAACGTCAAAAGGTTTCTGGAGCATACTTCTCAAACTCATTTTGCCCATTTTGCATTCGAAACAAAAGAAAATTGAAATTTATGAAAAGTAGAAATATTAAGATATCAAATGATTCTCTTACTTTCCTTTCTTCAAAATGTTCAAATAAGTCCTTCCATGCTTGACTAATGCTTGTGTTTTTAGCTGCAGACAATGGTAACTCTACTGAGAGCTCTCTCGACAGTGAAGACATCTGGAAACCTCGAATGAGAGAGGTAATGGTTAAACTGACTCTTGTAAAAGGAAATATGGTTAGTCATTGATGTTCGCAGATAAATCGCTTCTCGGTTGATAAGCTTGAAATGCTTCCATGATTTTTTGACACTAACGGACTATAGAGCGATGCTAAGGGATTATTCTGAGCTTATTATTCACAGCTTTAACAAAAATGGGAGAGGTAGATATCAGGAGAGCTCTAAAAACACAATAAATAATAATAATAATAATGATAATAAGCAATATGAAATCTCGAAACAGATCGAATCCATAAATTTGGCAAGGTTATCGAGGTTTTCTTTCACCTTAACACCTAACTATACCTTATTCGAAAATTTCTGGCTCGTATGTCAAAAACTATTTTTACCGAAGTCGTTGTCATGTTAACCAAACTTTTAAACATTTAACCTGAATATCCTTACGTTCACAGAATAAAGCAACTATTAATACTTTTGTCGATTCTTCTGTTTCCAAGGTTGTTGACAACTTTAAATGTTACCAAATTTTTTTTTATCACAAATAAAAATCTCTTGCACAGATATAATTTGTTATTTTATTAGATCCAGGGTGCCATCATTGTTTCTGCATTGTTTCAAATCGTAATCGGCTTCACTGGTCTCATTGGTGTACTACTTCGGTTTATTGGACCGCTGACCATAGCACCTACAATTACTTTAGTGGGCGTGGCACTATTTCACGTGGCTGCAGAGCACGCGGGTGAGTTTACCAATGGAAAACTATTATCGCCTGCCGATCTCATTTTATGCTCGATGTACACAACTTAAAAGTATGTCTACTTTTAATATTCATTGATACAGGAAACCACTGGGGAATTTCAATGACGTAAGTCACTTCCTTCATGTATTTTCTTTTATCCCGAAATTGACGTAAGAAGTAGAAGAACGGTCGTAAATATGTTTACGGAAAGAAATTAACTATATTAGCCGTAAAATGGCTGAAATTTTAACTGTTATGCGTAAATGCTATTGCTCCATTGAGACCCTTTCAGACGGTTTTCGTTCGCGTCAGATATGAAAGTGAACCAAAATTGGTTTACTTAAACCTACAATCAGCGACAAAATTGTGGACCCTTTGATCTTTTCAACCCCCTCTTTCTTCCTTGTCTTTTTGCCCTTGTTAAGCTAAGTTTGCCCTTGCTAGGTTAACCTTATCGCCCCTTACCTCCCAAAACAATATTGTATCGTGATACCATGAACCTTTAGCTACCTGCAGACAACATTGAATGGGGAAGGGGTATCATGTAAATGATTTAGAGTGTGGAGGAAGCAGGAGTGCCGAGGTCTATTCAAATACGATGTGTCAACTAATTTTGACCCTGATTGTCGGTCCATTGGAAAGAGGCATAGGTGAGAGTGACTCTTTCAGTAACCTCGTGGTGCATAGGAAAGTCTTTTCTCATTACCGAAACCTAGTTACAACAAAACGCTCAGTGATCAAAAACTCCGTTTCATCGTGATAACATGCAGTCAAACTGATGAACGTGCTCTTCGGTTGAGTGTCATAGAAATGAATCTGAAGTAATTGCAAAAGGCAATCAATTGAAAGGAATGAAAGGATTGGTTTCAGATTTGGATCTAATTGGTCAAGGAAGCAAATTAAAATCAAGCCAAAGAAATCCCCGATTACTTTCGAGACTTGATCAGAAACTCCATCATTTGGCTTTTTTACCTTTGTGATTCAGGACAATCGTGTTCATCGCTTTGTTCTCACAATACCTTACCAAAGTGAAGATTCCATTTCCTGTCTATACCAAAGAACGAGGAGGTTGTTTTGTCGGCCGTTTCCCTTTGTTCAGACTATTTCCAGTGAGTATATATGATTAGCTTTCCTGAATGTGCTTTTCACACTAAATTAAACTTTCCAAATACGCGCGAAATTTTGGAAGTTTAATTTAGAGTGAAAAGCACAGGAATGCTTTTAAGTAGCTAAGTACAGTGAAGCTAAAATGATGTCTCGTCGAGTTATTCTTTCCCGAGCCAGCGAGGAAGGTCATCCGATCATGTACCGGTTGAGCTCAACACATGTTGTATACTGTCAACGTCTTAGCCTGTTTGTATAATTTCACCTTCCTTCATTTTGCGGTCAGCAGCATTTCATCTTTGCAGCAAATGTTCTTTGCACCTCAATAAGAAATTTCGTTCTTAAAGTGTTTACAACAAACCTTTAAGCTTACCTTCGTAACGCGTGAAATTTTTATCAAAGTCTACATGAGTTTTCCGTCTCTGATGGTTTGTTATTTAATTCCATTTCACGCAGGTTATTCTGGCCATCGCCTTGTCATGGATTATCTGCGCCATCATCACTGCAGCAGGAGGTTTTCCTTCTGATCCCAAAATTCCTCAGTACATGGCGAGGACCGATGCAAGAAGCGCTGTCTTGAAAGAGGCTAAGTGGTTTAGATTTCCATACCCTGGTAAGAAACTTCAATTAGTGTTCAGTTTCTCTCGAAGTGTATCGCTCTATATACTATTTTGCTGCTTCTACAGGACAGTGGGGCACACCTACTGTGAGTGCCGCAGGGGTTTTTGGGATGCTTGCAGGAGTCTTTGCTTCTATCATTGAGTCAGTGGGTGACTACTACGCCTGTGCAAGATTATCAGGAGCGCCTCCACCGCCAAAACATGCCATTAACCGTGGAATCGGAATGGAAGGGATTGGATGTCTCTTGACTGGAGCTTTCGGTAGCGGAAATGGTACAACATCATATAGTGAAAACATTGGAGCTATTGGAATTACCAAGGTAAATGAACACTTTAGATTAGACCTAGATATAATGAGCGACAGCCATAATCGGCATATCGAACGAAAGTTTCTTCCTTTGGAACGATAAAATATAAGAAAGAAGGCTCGAATATGATTCGACTCATTGTAAAATTCATTTGTATTGTCATTCTTCTAAGATTGATATCGTTGATCGCTTTTCAAATCTAGTGCAAAATCTTTCTAAATGAACGATATTTTAACCAGCGGCATTAAGCAACATGGGGCTTGACCACAACGTGTAAAAACACGAAACCAAGTCACTTATGAAGAAAGGTCGATAAATTTTCAGGTTGGAAGTCTGCGTGTGATTCAGTTCGGTGCCATTGTAATGATGTTCGTGGGTGTTCTTGGTAAAATTGGAGCCTTGTTTGTTACCATCCCAGATCCCATCGTTGGTGGAGTTTTCATGGTAATGTTTGGAATGATCGCTGCCGTTGGAATCTCCAATCTGCAGTTTGCTGACATGAATTCTTCCAGGAACCTGTTCATCGTTGGATTTTCCATCATTTTTGGCTTGGCTATGCCACATTACATGAATAATCATCCCAACGCAATCCAGACAGGTATGATAAAATAATGCGTGTGTGAAATGGAAAGTGCCTCATTGCTTACCAGAACCAGATGTTGTAAGATGTTATAAAGCAATTTTCAACGGTACAACGATCAAGTATCGGTCAGAATCCCTACTAACGTAACTTCAGAGTGGTCAAATACGACAGGTAATGATTTGATACGCGACGAGAACCCTGCATGCCGTGCTGCATGCAGGAATGTATACCGTACCCTGTTTAAGGGTTAGTTAAGCAGTATGGGAACAATTTTTACTGAGTATTGTCCAGTAAAAGAAGATTTAATTTTCTGTCTCGAGTGGTTCGAATAAAAAAAGGAGTTCTCAGTTAGAATGAGAATCTTATTCAATGTTGCTCATGACATCGGCTTCTTTAGGTAAGTAGGCCGGATGACAAAGTCTGCACTCGAACCATGTGGCCCATCAAGCCCCGCTGATGCCGGTCTCAGTATGAGGTAACTAGGAGTATTGCCACGCCCTCCAGGAGGGGGACGCCAGCTTATCGCAGTTTCTCCTACCTCAAGCATTTCGCAAGGCTTCTGACAGTTCTGTTACCAATTTATACTCCTGAGGGGAAAGAGGCTCTGAGAGAAAAAAGTGCTTTCCTTAAGAACACAACAAAATGAACCAGCTGCAGTTCTTGCTATACTAGTTATTTGTCTAAATTCCCTAGAAACTTTCGGACTTTCTCTATAATGGTTTCGGAGGCGTTGAAAATATCATCTTGTTATTGACAGGTGTTTCAGAAATTGACCAGATTCTGACAGTTCTGATGAAAACAAGCATGGCCATAGGATGTATTTCTGCATTGATTCTAGACAACACCATTCCCGGAACCATCGAGGAACGCGGGCTCAAGGCTTGGAGGCAACATCTTTCAGATGAGAGTGACGACCATTGTCAAACAGCCCCCATGAAAGTCTATGACCTGCCGTTTGGTCTCAATTGCATTAGCAACTACAAGGTGGCCAAGTACTTACCCTTTCTTCCTTACAACGACGAAGAACATCGAAAAAGAAGCATTATTGAACGTAATGGCGATACGATGTTGTAAAAAGACGCACACGTTTAGCTCGGTAAAGAGATGAAACGTGTCCGACAACAAACAACTTGAATATCTAATGATAGTGTGGTGGCTTTATAGTGTGTAATGTGTGTTTGTGAGTAATGTAAACTGCAACTATATTATCTTTTAAACAATATCATGTTCTTTAAGGGAAACTGAAAACAATCCCATCGTGATACACTTAGCTTCCGGAAAATATGGATTTAAAAAAAAAATGCTTAAATGTGTCTTACGCGAAATCACTCCTATATACATCGTAGATGAAAAAGTTGCTAACAGCATTTTCACTTGCTCCTATGCATAACCAAGCGGAAATGACCATGCTCTAGTATACATGCATAGCACAGTTATGATAACTGCACTGTTGGCGGCAATTTCGTCCAACCGTTCTCAAGGTTTTGAGATATGACTTTCCGACTTTCTCTCAATCAAGGGGTGAAGTTATGTAATAGGTTCCAATACTGTAGAGACGATGTTTTTTGTATCATTTATAGAGTATTTGTTCTGTGCAAATAATAAACATACAACTTTTTCTAAAATTACTTTCAATTTCTACAAAGCAGTTCCTCAGGTTGAAGCGAGGGATTTCAAAAATTGTTATTCAAAGCTCAGTTCATCACTTCTGAGGGAATACTTAGCTTTCCTCTTACAGACCTGAAATTAAATTTTCTGAAAGCGGAAAACTATAAACATAAAAGTAGTGATCGTTCATTTACGATTTTAACTTAAGTTAGATTGCTGAACATCCCCTAAAACGGTTTTCTTCAATAAGTGTCTACATCTGCCACAAACATAAGCGTCCCGAGAGGGGGGGGG